TAGAAGAAAAAAATGAAATAAAAAATAGAAATAGAAAAGGTGAGGAAACTGGCCAACGCAGGTCGTCGTTTCGTCGAAGCAGCTGCATTTTAACGGTTGCATGTTTCGGTTTCGAGCTGGTGCTAGATTATATGGATGCATCGCCGCGATCACAGACAAACGTTTAAATCGCTAAACGTTAAATTATACGCGGCTCCGCCGTCTATCCTCCGCCCATAAAAAATAATAGCACGCTCGGCATAGATTCGCCTAGCTCCCGATTTGGTATCTCGTCTTTTGAACAGCTGCGGTCATTTCTTCGGGTTCTTCGGTATGTATTATAGATCACGTGCCGTCTCTTTCAGGATAGACCATAAGATCTTACAAAGTTTTCAAGATTTATTCTAAAAAAATAAATAGTTAGGTATATATGGTATCTTGATTACTATTTACTCAGCTTCAAACATGAGTAATATCATCAGTGCATTGGAATATACAACATATTAATAACAATGTCAAGAGACTATTTGTATCGGACCACACACGAGGGCGGGTTGGTCTCCTAGTCGGTAACATTAATTAGCATTCGTCTTTATAGCTCGCTTGTGACTCTTAAGTATGAAGAAGGCATGCATGTAGCGGCATCAATGATGAAAGCTTTGACTCTCTCTCTCTCTCTCTCTCTCTCTCTCTCTCTCTCTCTCTCTCTCTCTTTTCTCTTTCTTTCTTTTTCTATATATTTATATCTACGTGCGCGGCAAGCACCAATCGACAAAGCGATCTTAAAGAAAAAAAAACTAGAGAGAAGGTATAGCGTTGCCACGATGACATATGAGCTACCAGACTCTTTGTGTCGCCATGAATACCACTTAAATTGGGGAACGAGCCATCAGGGCTCGCTACTGAATATCATCGTGATGCCGAGCCGTCCGTTCTCCGCGATTTATCACCTCGTGACTCTTTACGACGAACGGATTACAAAATCTGCGTCCTTGCATTTGCCTCTTTGCACCCTCCACGTCTCTGAACCATAGGGAATGCGAACATACTAGAATTCAAATTGGGATTCCATAACGTGGTGAAAGGATAAACTGTTACCGCCTTCTTTTCCTGTCGATTCATCATCATGCTAGTGTCATCGAGTTCTCGAAAGATCTAACAAATGTTCTTCGTATAATATAGTAAGAAAATATTGAAGAAATTGGTCTGGATTAGAATGTTGAAGCTTAGGTATCGTACGTATACTAAATACGTAAATATAATTTTACGAAGTATTACAAGTTTATATGCTTTGAGTCTTAATAAAGAATTTTTAAACTCGAAACAATTGTTTTCTTTCTTTTCTGAATAGAAATCTGAGATGTCAATAGTGAATAAGAAAAAAAGATAAGAAGTTAGAAAATACAAGAAGCCGGAGTACATTTCTTTTCTTCTTTTATTTGTTACATGAGTGAAGCTTGTAAAACAGGATCGAAGGTCGGAGGTTCCGGTTAACGCGCAACCGCTTCGCATGACTGCAGTTGACGAGCACTAAAAATTTCGACTCTTTAGCGAGGTAGGGCGAGAAGGCTCCGGTATAGAGGCAGGTAGATATATAAGAAGCAGATGCGTCTGTCATTAATATGAACCGGCGAAGCTATTAATAACCGGTTAATGAGGACTCTCTTTCTCTCTCTAACGTCCCTTCTCTCTGTCGTACGTGCGTGCCAGACGAGGTCCTGCCGTAAGATAGGGAGAGCGTATGCGTATATACACATCGCCAGTTCATATTGTACTCCTCGGGTATACCTATATGATTGTAGAGTGTATCGTCAAAGGGCTCCGGCAAACCTCATGATTTATAATCGGCTGTGTCCCTTTTTATTCTTCTGCTGTTCTTCTGTACGTTCTGATCGTCAAAAAATTTTGGATTTCTTTTCTTTGAATCGATATAAGTACGGTCGAATAAATTTACAATCTCGCAGATAATAAAAAATATTCTACATAAGTATTAATGTATCTGATCAATATTATAAAGTGTAAATTCTTGTTGTAGGTACTCTATAATTTCATGATGAAATTCGTAAGATGTCTCGGACATCAACGAGTCGCTTCCATCATTCCAAGAGTCGAAGGGTAATTAAATGAGAACCACTGAGTACGAACGCAGGAACGCCCACGCCATGCATCAACCGTGACGTAGATAGGTAATGCTGCTGCAGATGGAGAAGATGGTCCTCGGAGATATACCCTTGGTTTCTACCTTAGTTAGGGTCAGCTATCTCGCGCGACCCATCTCCGCCTATCCAATCACACACTGCACACCGCGTATGGCACGCAAGCGATAATACACGGTGTCCCAATTATCCCGCGACACGGCAAGGCCCACGCTCTCGCCGTGAGAGCATTTTCAACACGCCCCTGCTAGCCCCTCCACGTGAACGGACCAGCAAACCCTGGCGCCCCTCAACGGATGGTTCTCATAAAGGACGAATCCTCCTTCTCACCTCCTCCTTCTCCTTTTTTTCCTCCTTCTCCTCTTCCTCCTTCTTCTGCTTCTTCTTCTTCTGTAAATCCTTTCCCTTCGATAAAACTCACATGACTCTCAAGAGTAAGATGTATTTGGGATTTAAACAATAAAGTTCTAATGAAAATGAGAACCATGTATCATACTTATTCGTAATCTGATTCCTTTTCTTCTCATCTTTCTCCCGTTTTGGGTCTGTAATTATAAATTCGACAAATATGTTTGCATTTATTTTATAAAGTTATATTTCAAGATGGCGAACATTGTGTTGATAGGATGCAAAATAAAAGCAAAAAGTCATCTCTTCGTTAGAGTAGAATCGATAAGACTTCATCGATATGACAAATTGCCCAACGATTATTTGGATG